AAATCGAATAGTTTACGGAAGGTTAGGGAATTTGTTGTAAAGCGTTTAGCGAAAGCGTCTGATAAGTCGCGTCAACAATATAACTTGCGTAGGCGACATGTGGAATATAGTGTGGGAGATCTGGTATGGAAGAAACGATATGTTTTGTCCGATGGTGCAAACTACTTTACTGCAAAGTTGGCTGGCAAATTTGGTGGGCCGTATAAGGTCAAGAGAAAAGTAGGTTATTGTGCATATGAATTGGAGGACGACAATGGTGTTTCCATTGGTACTTGGCATACCAAAGATCTTAAACCCGATCCTGATTAATTTACTCTAGTTTAATAATGATTTTGTTAAAAGAAACATAGTTTCTTTTAAAAGGGAGGAAAGGTGGAGTTGTTACAGTTCAAAATTCACTGTATCAATTTGTTAGTTTTATATAAATTCTCATTTAATATTGTATTCCAAAGCTCTAAGATTGTTTTTAATTAATATCCTTTTATTTTAATCATTTCATGGACATAAACAATTAATTTTCCGACAGGTTGGCAGGGGGCTTCTGTTTTCCTGTATTCTTGTTTTGTTGGGGAAATATTCCTTGTGGGACTGCGTCTGAAATGTAAAAGGATGACTCAAGATGAAATAGAATTCAATTTCAATACTTACCTTTATTAAAAATTGGGGCCCAGTGCTTTGTTTACCATCCGTTAATTATTGGGTTATGATTTATTATTTTGACACTTGAACTTGATCTTGAACAGCTGTGTGCTCCGAACACTTCGGTTTTTATTATTTAGCGGTCTTGGGATGTCGCACAGGTGCTTGGAGTAAATGGGTCAAGGTTTCACCGATAAATCAAAGTCATTGGCGTAGTTCACAGAATTGTTACTGTGTTGCTGTCTGTAGCAACAGTAAGTTTTCTTCGTTTTGTTCATGAATTGAAATTTTCTGTGTAAATTATAATTTAGCTGAGGAAATTAACAACTAGTTGAGATTTTAAAGAGTTCTATTGTGTTTTGGGACTGTATGGAAATTATTTTGAGTTTTGGCAACAGACCCAGAGAGACGAGTCGTCCCTGGTTCTGACCATGAGATTGCAGTTTTGTCATTAGGGGGGAAATTGAACCTTTCAAGTTCTTTCTTCGGTCTTTTCTACCCCAACTTTCAGCCTGAATGGTCGTTTTAGCTGCTAAGCCTGCTTGAGTCCTAGGATTCGCCTTTGTACTTAAGGGATTTTGGCTACAGTTTTCGCGTGGAATCCGTTTCTTTGGTTTACTGGATAAACCGCAAGTTGTGCTGGAGGCACGTGTAATTTTGGATTTCCACAAACCTTTTTGTAAGGGATTTTTGACCACGTGACTGGTAAGTTATCTTACGTTTGCTGCCCAAGAACCACATGGTTCTTGGCTACACATTTCCATACTATTACCTAGTTTCTCGTCACTTATAGAGAGTTGGTCCAAAGGGCTTATATGTCCATTTTTGTCCTGCCTTTCCGCCGTCTTATACGTGTGCCTTGATGGTGATATTAGGGAGATATGCCCTTTCGACAATTACGGTGTTGCCGGATGAGGAAATGATGTCCTTAGGCGTTGTAGGAATGTGATTGTTGGAAGGTATGTTTTTATCTATTTTTATATATATTAGGGAGGGAATAAAATATAGGGTTTTGCTTAGTAAAATCTAGATGATGGGCTATTATGAAAGCGCCATTTGTGTGACGTTAAGTTCATTCTAAATGTGCAGACTTCGTAGACCCGGCTTGTCGAGGCCGTCTACTGCTAGTCTTTGTGCTGTCAAAGCTAGTTATAATTTAATATAGTTCTGGAACTAAGGCTGAATACCTTTTCTAGGGCGTTGTTTTTGGTTGGTGTCTTGTTCCGGTGTCTGATGTTGATGTCTAAATCAAGTCTAGTGTTTGGTGCACAATGCACGTAGCTAATGGGTAGCAGTAGCAGCTGATGTAGCTTCTAGACGTTTCTCATCCTTCCAGGCTGGTTGCAGTTTCATTTTACCAGCAGGATTGAGTAATGTATAACTGCTCTATTTTATTTCTTACATAATAATTAGAATGATGCTCAAGAGTTGAATGTTACTAAGGTAGAGTGTTTTATTATATATCTAGTTACATATTTTCTTGGCATTGTCATGCTATAAATATAATCGTCTTGCGCCTGGTATACCATGGTATTTTAGGGGATGATTTTGCATATTTATAATTAAAGTTTAAATGTCTAGCGTAATTGATTAATTGCCCTTATGTAATCAATACGTTGACCTTATGTGAACACGACTTTATTATTTAGTGTAATATTTTGATGTCGATTATTATTGTTATACATTTATTTACATTTCAACTGTTACCTGTTATCTATTGCCCAAAGCTACATAGGTTTAGTAATTAAATATTGTCCTTTGTTTTGAACCTGACTTTTATTGATTCCTTCTGCTGAGAACAATGCCTAGGTCCAAGAGACCCATGTTTAGTAAGTACTACTTTCTTTATCATTATATCTTTGAGCTAGCTGGTGTTATAACTGGGAAATTTAGGTTATAACCTTTGCCGTGCTTTTGGGAGATATACTTTCAAACCCGAAAGAATATTCAATCTTGACGAAACAGCTGAGACAACGGTTGAGCTCGCCCTTGCACAACAACGTTATTGCAGCGAAAGGCGTGAAGCATGTAGGAAAGAATTCTTCAGGTGAGTGGAGAAGTTTGGTCACTATGGTGGGAATAGTGGGTGCATCTGGAATTCGTCCCACGCCAGTTTTCATTTTGCATTGGATCAGACCTCATGGAAACTTCATGGTAGTTGCTCCACCAGTCATCTTACATCTGGTTAAAAGAGTGGGTGGCATTCTGCTCGAAAAAACAAGCGCACTTAATGAGTCTACGAGATTTCCATGAGAATCACTGTTCATTGGAAGCTTTAATCTATGCAAAGAAAAATGGAATTATAATGGTAACGTTCCTACCTGCTGGAGCCATCGGATGTATCATGGGGCCGGATTCAAAGCAAATTATTAAGTTTAGCTACAAATGACTTGGATTTTTTTCACACAGGCAAAACAAGAACAATGCACAATGCTGCAATTCTTGCTGGCAAAACACTTAAAAGCTTATTCACTATAGAAACAAAATTGATAAGTTTCGAAAACCAGGAATATATCCTTTCGAGCGAAATTCATTTAGCGATAAAGATTTTGATGCTGTATGTTTCCTGAAGCACCACCAAAAGCCGAAAGCTGCAGTGGCTGTAGAAAGAGAAGATTCAAGATTCTTCCGGAAACGCTTGAAAAAATGCATTAGAATAGCAAAATGAAGGACAAAAATAAAGATAACAAAGAAAGCTTTAGTTGCCGTCTTAACACCCAGCTCCACGTTTTTTTTCTGTCCAAAATGATTGAGATGGACCATTATCCGGAGGTTTTTTGGATGGAGATAGTGGAGTGAAAAATAAAGGCCAAATTGATTGCCATCTAAAACGGATTCAAGAAGTAGGAATTTGAGAATTATGCATTCCCAAAAGTTAGACAAATAGAACAATCCGGATTGATTTATTGCACCACATAAAAACTTAAAAAAAAAAACAAGACTAAGGACATACATAAACACGACACTTACGCCAAAGTTTAAATCATTTGGGAATAAAATGATGCCATGAAAAAATTTGGACGCACTACTATGCAGACGCATTCAAAGATAAAATAATTTTTCAAAGACTATCTTAAGCGAGAAGCTACCAGAATTGCCTCAGAAAAATGTTAATGCCAAATATTAAAAAAGTTTAAAAAAAAGTTAGTGTAGAATTATTATATTAGGTAACCGTCCAAACTAAATTATTGTTAGAAAATTGTAAACCCTATAAGGTCTGTAATTTTGTTACTGTTTTGAGGTCATTTATAGATAAATAAATAACATATTTTATATGGTGTATTTATTTATATAAATGCAAGCATGGAATATTTGTTGCATCAATCTCACTAATTACGCAGAGACAAAAACAATGAGATTTGATCGCAATTCTTGAAAATGGGATTAAGAAATTTCTGATGAGTATGTAATTGGTAATTCCAGATTAAATTGGTTTTTCTAATATCCCACGAACGAATCCACTTGAATTGATTGCAACGCACAAGTTGTGAAACATCTTGATTATTCAATTTCATCATTTTGTTTATTTTCATGATATCAATCGTAAAAAATAAACACTGATGATCGAATTTTTTTTCATGATGACATGTTACCCTTCTGTAAATATTTATCCAAGAAAAATAAATTAGAGCCATATATAGAATGTTCATTGGGAATTGTTCCCTATTTCAATAACAAAAGCAATAAAATATATTAACGTATAACATAAAATGTACTAAAGGAAAATATCTTTGGAAAAGCAAAAGCGGATTAACCAAAGCTCCAAAACACTGCTAATATTCATACGATTAATTTGTATTGCTCTGACACGGTCAGTTTTACGCAATACATGTGGTTTTGCTTTATAAGACAATGGAGAAACCCAAATTCTCAATCATTGGATACTGGCGCTAATTTCAGATCGGTTTCGAGCTAACATAAGCGAAAGCACGCCAACTCAGAGAAACAGGTTTAAAGTATATTTACACGACAAGAAATAATTAGACCTTTAATAGCATGTGGCTCCTTTCTTGAAAGACGTACAAAGGAAAAACCAAAAACGACCCGTTTGGATGTAAAAATTAAGATTTTGAAAATAAATTTTCAAAAATCATAGAAATAGATATTTCTTTGAGTTGTCAAGAATTTCTTTGATTTTTGAAAATTTATTTTTAAAGTGAAAATAAGGCAATTAAGGTGCTAAGCATTATTCAAAAGTTAAAAAAATTGTTTGAAATCTCACGAATTTAATTTTTGTTGAAAGCAACTAATACTGAAAATCCTAATCCCTTTTTGAGACGAAAAACATAATAATATTACTAAGATCCATTAATGATAGATATGAATTCCGAGATAATTGAAGTGGTTTGTGTATATAAGGTGCAATTTGTAAATAATATCGGTACGCATATACCTAACTGCGTTTAATTCGTAATAGGTTTCAAGTAAACGGGTTAAAAAAAAATGAAACTTAGTTCTTCAATTTCTATCTTAGGAGCTGTGCTAGTTCTGGTGGCGGAATCCAAAAGTATAACTGATACCGGTAAGATTTTATGAACCTCAGCTTATTTGAAAATTAGGTTCAAAACTTTTTTTTTCTATGTCCCTACTGTTATAAAAATTCTATAGACTACCTTGAGCATTACCCACATTTTGAGATGGTAGAAGAAATTCTTCAGATTTATTTCTCTTTTCAAATTTGCATTGTAAAAACAAAGAACTGAATAGTCGTGTTTTTGAAATCATGCGGTGATACAATTAACAAATAAGGCATGATGCTGTCAAATATAAAATCAAAATTGTTAAAAGATGTCCACAAAAATGTATAAAGTAATTTTTTTATCCAGAATTCAAATCCCATAAAAAATCGAAAAAAAAAACTTTCTTTTTTCCAGACACCCGACTAAGGGAGTCATTCTGTAGAAATTGCTCAAGGATGAGAGAAATTTATGGAAAATTTATCTTTTGATTCGTCAAGTCCGATTGCGATTTTTATTTCTTTCTTCACCACTCGCTATCCTATAGGTTAGGAACAAAGTCTTCTCTCATTGCATAGCTCTCCGATTTCTGAATGCTCCACACTCATTAGTATTTGCTGTACTTCTTGGTTTTTATTTTTCACATTATTATCTCATTCTTCGGTGTTTAATTGAATTTACGAATATTTTCTTTATTTGAAACGTATTCACTTAAAATATTCCGAACCATAAGCACTTGTTGAGAATTCAATTTATTTAGGACAGATCCTGGAGCTTTTATCTTCGGTATTTTTTATATCAAGTGCGTTATTAATAATTTGAATGATTATTTTGTGAAATCACACTGTATCTTCTTAAATTCCATTATTGAGATGAAAGATGATATCAAAAAAGAGAAATTAGTAGGCGAATCTTAATGAAAAAGTTTAAATTACGAGAATCATGTTTTACTAGAATGACACCAGATTTGAGTTCTTTCAACTTTTTTATCATGCTACAATTAAGTAGGGAACACGAAGATACAGCTCGATCCAGAATTCGTGTATCAGCGGATGAAATAAAACTTGTGCAAGTACTGCGAGTTCTCCCTCTGCTAGTCAGCCTAATTTATTCTCGACATGCATCTTTGACTACTTGAAGCTGAAGTCAACTTAAAAAAATATATATTTTCAAGAAACTGAAACAAAGCAGAATATGAACGTAACAAGAGTTAAACTTGACAATAGCGGTGAATTTACATATAAACTTTTTCAAGAATTTTACAAGGAAAAGGGAATCAAACATTTGGCATGGCAGAAATGACATCAATTAACTCAGAATATTTGGTTATCAAACATGGTACTCTTTATTGCCAAAAGGAAGACTGGCCCAAAAACAAGAAAAACATTTATGATGGGCTAGGTGGGTAGAAATTATGGTTGAGATATACAGAAAAAGGCATAAAATCAAGAGAGTACGATTTGATGAGAAATTTATGGAGTGTAGAGTAACACACGGAAAGATGACATCACTATAATACCTGGAGAAAAATACAATAACATGAAATTTGAGAAAATGGGCTAAATGAGACGGTGGATACAGGAAATAGAAACAAGTTGGGTGAGGGTAGAAATCAAATACATACAGTGGAAGGGACCAGATCAAGAAGAAATATTTTTAGACTAAAGAAGTTACAAGACTGATTATAGGTATGTTGTATACTGTTTACTATTAGACCAAGTGCCAAAGACGCCAAAGTCTTTTCAAGGTGCTAATAAAACAACGAAATGGTAAGAAGCTATAAATAATGTCTCGTGAAAAGTTGAATATGAGCACCCGTAGGTACGGTCCCATATAGCATTAAGAGAGAGAAGTCGGCAGGACTAAGGGTTCCCCACAGGTTTCATCCCCCTAGCGAGACCTGATCTAGAGGTGAAACCACCCCCTATGTGGGACAAAAGTTTTCCAACAAACTCGCTCGTCAGGTATTCCTGGGGTCTTGAGTTACTTACACCGACTACACCACACTACCCTGCTTCGAACACCTATAACCTGCACCATAGGCGCCGGAACCATGGGGGCAATGGGGGCTTGAGCCCCCATAGTGAATTTGCTATGGGAGCAGAGCCCCCATAGAGATTTTGGTATTATATATGTAGTGAGTTTAGTAGGTAGGTACAGGGTGATCTATTATAAATGTCACCTGTCCTAACTTTTTCATTTGACGCTTTTGACAGAAGAGTCAAATACAAAAGCTTTCAGAAATTGTCAAAAGTTTTCAACTACGTTAGTTTTAAGCATCCTACAGGGTGCGTCAGAAAAGTGTAGCAGAGCTAAGTTATATTTTTCTAAATGGAACAACATGTATATTGTGCACTAATTTTGTTAGTACCTTTCTATAATTTTTTCAATATGTAAGTTGAAAATTTGAAATTTGGGGTGCTTAAACGAGGTAATTTTTTGAGTTTTTCAGAAGTAAATTGCGTTACCAGTCACTTCCGGTTTAACCAGAAGTGACCATAAGTTTTGATTTTCAAATAGAACACCAGGTATTTTTTAAGTTTTCTGACATCAGCAGATCATTTTTAGTATGATAGGACCATTTTTGGAAAATTTTCAACAAAAAAAAATAAATTGAATTTATTTTTAGAAAAAAAAATCGGCGCTGCCACTGGTGTAAATTGATTTAGTTGGACATTCTTAATATCAGGAAAATCTGTAACTTAAATTTTTTCCTAACTGAACGCCATAATTTCAGATCAAAATCAAAGTATTCCGGGACCTATCAATTTTTTGAAACTAGATGTTATTCCCTATTTTTTGATATCAACATTTTTAAAATCCGCTGAGAAATAACCTAATAACTTTTGAAAAATCTTTATTTTTAAATTCAATTTTTTTTGGTTTTGTTATAAATTTTTAAAAAATGCTCTTATCATACGTAAAATGATCTGCTGATGCCAGAAAACTCGAAAAATACTGGGTGTCCCATTTGAAAATTGAAAGTTATGGCCACTTTCGGTTTAATCAGAAGTGACTGGTAACGCAATTTACTTCTAAAAATCTCAAAAAGTTGCCTCGTTTAAGCTCCCCAAATTTCAAATTTTCAACTTGTATATTAAAAAAGTTATAGGTTGTTCCCTATTCCTTGTGTCACCCTGTATACGTTTTGTTATGCTTACCTTTAATAGTTATAGGGAAAAACGCGAAAGCCTCTTCATTTCATGTACATTTTTTTAAATAATAATAACTCAAGAAAACTGATTTTATTTTAACATTTCACCCTCGATTTCACCTTGTAAATTAATGAATAACATTTGAACAATAGACTGTTTATATTAAATAATTCTCTCTAATGGTATCTATAATTTGTCTTTCTTCTCAACATGAGACCTTGGAAGGGGTTTTCACATTTTTTCCTATACCTAACTATTGAAGATAAACATATCAAACCATATATCGTTGGAATCAGTTTGCTAACAAATAAGCGCACAATATACATGGTGTTCAATTTAAAAAAATATAAGTTCGCTCTGCTACACTTTTTTTACGCACCCTGTATGCATGATACTGCCTTATGGCGTGTCCGATTGGTAGATCTAGTGTCTGTCTTTTTCTTCTACAGGTCGATTAAAAGGATACAAATACACTCATAGTGCGCACTGAATCTACCAATCGAAAACGCCATAAGTTAAAAACGTTTGACAATTTCTTGAAACTTTTATATGTAACACTTTTGTCAAAAACGTCAAATGATAAAGTTAGGAGGAGGTGACATTTATAATAGATCACCCTGTACAAAAATTATAAAAATATTGAGTTCCTAATTATTTATTTTTATGTCAAATTTGTGTGCATTATGTTTTTATTGTTTTTGCTATACCTACTTTAACAAAGACTTTGAATATTTTGTTGTATAGTAGGTATATTTTGGTATTTAAAGCTGTATTTTCAAAAAGTCGGATGATCCAGCGTGGCGATCCTGCAGTGAATGTGTATCAGTCAACTGGTCCCATTTAAGCCTATGTGTCTAGTAGCCTACTGGTCTTGTCTGTATAATTTTACCTGTGTTTTTTTTGGAGCCCGAGCCCCCATAGTAATTTTGAAGTTCCGGCGCCTATGACCTGCACCAACTTCCCTAACTCACTCCAACCGAGCTAGGAACGCTCGCTCGCCCTGACATCGCACTACGAACAGCAACACCAAGCGAGCTAGACCTTCTAGACCTTCAAGACCTTTATGACCTTTTAGACCTTCTAGATCGTCGAGATCGTCTGGAGCTCCGAGATTCTTTGGAGCGTCTGGAACTTCAAGTTCGCCCCATGCGCGCACAGTGTGTGAATACCAGCGCACTGGCGTAACTATCATAGGGCAGTTCGGTGCAAATCATTGAGGCCCCCGAGACTTGAGGCCTCATTTGTCATAAATACCTATTATATTAAATTCGTAATAATATGAGAAAATAATGTTTTCAAATGTCTGAAAATTATAGTACAAATTTTGACAAAAGTAGGTGCTTGACAGGGCAGCGGAGAGGAAAAACGAACAGTTCAGTAACAGTTGCGCGAAACTCTATTGCACTGGAACGCCTATAAACAGCCCGGGGCGCTCTAGGGCAGCTAAGGAGTGCTTAAAGTGCGTCACTGGAAACGACTCTTGTCTGTCAGTGAATGGCTGGATGCCTACAAAGTGAAACTGCAACGCGCCCACTGCTCAGTGCTTTATGTTTTCATTTTCCATATCGGGTCCAGGCCGTTGAGGGGTGGTTGATGCGGCAGTTGAGTAGACGCTTGGATATTTTTGTCAGGTATACTTATTTTGTTCTTCTGTATTTCTTGTTATTTATTTGGTGCTTGCATCATAATTTTGATTCTTTGAGGCCCCAAACTGTGGCAAGTATTTAACCCGGCATTACACGCGCCACAAAACTCACGTCATTACACGCGTTCGTTCAAATCGATCGACTGCCCAAAAGTGTATATGAATTATTAACTTGTTTAGCGGAAACGTTCCCAAACGTATCCTGAATGCCAAGGCATGACCTACGCAGGTTTACTGATCAAATAGAGACATGAAACTTTCAAATATAACCTGTGTAAGTCATGCCTTAGCGTTCAGGATACGTTTGGGTTCGTCTCCGTGAAAAAAGAATAGAAGCATTATAATTCCTAGAATTCATAAGCATTACAAAGGGAATTATATTATGCAGTACAGTTACCGTATTATCAACAGCCAAAAGTAATCTCAATATCAGAAAATGCCAATTTTGAACACAAATATTTTGGATACTCAGGTTCACGCGCCTAGTCAAAAGAACCGAATATGAAAGAAAAAACTATACTTCAACCAAAAACCAAAATATTTTTGGGTCAATGGGTAGTGGAAAACCTGCATCAGGCATTCTTGGATGGACAAAACTGCCACCCTTGTACCAGTGACGTAATTAGTGATTTTATCAATGGTCGGTCCTTTTGACCGACAAACGTGTACTTCCGAGTTAAGTAAGTTATTTTTAGCCATGTTTTAACAAACAATAAATATAAAAATTCAGTTTTGCGTGATGACGGATAAACAGATTTATAAAACTGGTGCTCAAAAAAAAAGAAAAAATTAAAGAAAGAAAGGAAGAATTCATCAAAAAGCTCCCAAAAAATCAGAAATTTTTCAATGTTTTACCGACTGAAGCTGCATCTACCTCGACGACGATGACCAGTAAAAATGATAGCGATTTGCTGGCTGGATTAGCATCCACCTCCACATTGGCAAGCAAAAATGATACAGAATTGTTGCCTGAATCAGCATTCTCTTCGACAAGCCAGGAGTTGGAGTTACGACTAGCTGATTCTGCTATTAGTATATTACATGTTGTTCGTTTGATGTTGAATTTCGATTTATCTTCGATAATAAGAGCCGCGGGACTGTAAACGCGTTGATTCATCTAAATTTGTGCCGAAAAATATAAACTATGATATTTGAACCCAAGCCATACAAGAACAAAATGGAAGCACTTACTTGTGTTCTTCCAAGGATGTTTTCTTTTCCTGCAGGTGCACCTGGATGGTCTACCAATTCTTCTACTAACACAATCACATAAAATAGTATTAAAATATCTTCCAAAACTATGAGGTTGATTTTCTAACGGAATTTTTAACTAAATTTCAAAGGATCGGTTTGAGGGTTCTGAAAACTCAACTGACAAGTTCGGATCTCTGTCCTAATTTGTATGGTGCGCTGATTTCTGGGAAGCGCATCGAATCTTCTCGTGCCATATAAAACTTGAAATTGTATGGCGCCAAACTTTAAAATCAAGTATACGAATAAAATTAGTTTGGAAATTAAGCTATGCGCGAACACATGTAAATGAAGACTCACAAAATATGAATATTGTCACTCTTGACAATCAAAACAACGTCAATATCTCGACGGATTTAGGAGATTACAGGGACAAAGTACTTTCTGATTAAATGAAGGGGCAAATTATCAGTTTGCCTTCTAGCAGACTAAAAGGGCTATTTCCCAAAGATCAGTTTCAAGAGAATAGATCTTTCAATGAATCTTATTATTTTTCCGCATCGGATAATGGTCCTGTGCCACGCCATTGGTTGTGTTATTCCTTTAAATTGGATGCGACGTATTGCGAACCCTGCTGGCTTTTTTCCATATCAGCAAATAACTGGAGAACTGGAATTAGAGATTGGAGGCACCTGTCAGTACGTATCAAGGAACACAGTAAGTCTGTAGCTCACATTAAAGCTTACGCAGTTTTTAAATTGTGGGAAAAAAATGCTACTATAGATAAAAAATTAGAAGAAAAAATAAGATGAGGCGTCATTTTGGAAAATGGTTCTTCAAAGGTTGTTCCAAATTACGCTAACTTAGCAGCATTTAGGGCGCATCGGGATAATGTCGAAGATTATAATGGTAACTTTTTATCATTGGTCCGATTGCTTGCCAATTATGATGACATAATGAAACAAGTTTTGGAAATGTCATCTGGTTCTGTAAAATATTTGAGCCCAAAAATCCAAAATGAGCTTATAAGTGGCACATCAGATCTCCTTCTCAATAAACTTGTGAAAGAAATAACACTTGCTTCATACTATTCGTCATTTCTCGATACTACACAAGATATATCTAAATTCGACCAATTGAGTGTTATTATAAGGACTGTACAGCTGGTACGAGATAAAGATATGTATGTGGTAGGTTTTGAAATAAAAGAAACTTTTTTGGGCTTTCACGAAATCACTGACCATACAGCTGGTGGAATGGTTACTAAAGTAAAAGCCATCTTGGAAAATTTAAATATTGCGATAAATAAATGTTATGGTCAGGGATATGATGGAGCAAGTGTTATGAGTGGAGCATAGAATGGAGTCCAGTCTAAAATTAAAGAATTCCAAAAAAATGCTGAGTATATTCACTGCGCAAGCCATAATCTAAATCTAGTTATAAATAATGCTGGGTGCACTGAAGTGTCTTCTTTTTTTTCAACATTACAAAACATTTATTCGTTTTTCGGAAATAGCATTAACCGTTGGGACCTAATAGGTTCGTTCACAGGTGAATCTGCAATAACCTTGAAAAAACTTAATCCGACTCGTTGGGCAGGTAGGATATCATCTTTACTGGCAGTTAAGCTCCGTTTTTTTGACATTCTCAATTGTTTAACTGAAATTGTATCAAATTCGAAGAAAAAAGAAGAGAGAGAATAAGCTATTACTTTAAAAAAGAACTTAGACTCATTTGAATTTGTATTTCTTACAGTTTTCATATACAAAATATTAAGCGAAACAAACTTAGCCTCAAAAGTGTTACAAAAAGCTAACGCAAATTTTCGTGAACAAACTTTCAGAACCAAATTCCAATGTGTGGCCATCCTCACGAAGTTATCCTCTATCCTCTGCTTTTCTTCGCATGAAATCTTCTTTAGATTCTCATCGCAAGTATCTCTGTAAAAACCAGCACACCAAGCTCGTCACTTCCAGTACTTCTTGGCAGTTGTCAAACAGTTGAAGCATTGATTAAATTGTCATCTAGCTATAGGTGGTCAAGGGACATATCAACATTGAATAAGAGGATCTAGGACCCAGGACTGACCATGCATAAGAAGTTGACGTGAAAATTCCACGTTGAAAATAACCGAAATTAAGGTGCAACCATGGGTAGACGGGTTGATGGATCGGAAGAGTACTTAAAACCAAAATAGAATGTTGTTCTCTGAAAAAGGATGACTTGGGTCTTAGTTAGGATGATTGATGTTGATGCACAATTCTGGAATCGAGCTCATTTCTCCCTATGGAGTTTCTCTCTAACCCCTTCAGAAATGCTGAATCAGCTACGTACAATGAATCTTCACGTCCTGTGTCTTTGGATTGTGGCGATCATAGAGCACTGACCCTCATGGAACACCGGCTTCCAGTCCTCTAGTTCTTGGGCGATGTTTGCCAATCTTGCTGTCAGATAATTTTGATCCAGTTTGCAAGCCATTCCTTCATGGCCGACTTGAATCTTCGTGTGAACTTATCCGTCATGCCTAAATCCATTTGTGGTATGGTCGGCTAGTCTGAGCGCCTATAGCTTGGTCGAATGACCTGCTGTAAGTTCAAATTGTTCTTCAGAAATCAATTTCAAGTCATTAGATTTATGTAGGATCCTGGAATTGATAGCTCTCTCTGACAGCTTGCCAAAAAGGCCATGGGACCATAGTTCTGTGAGGACTTTCTAGTCCTTCCTATTCTGCTTAGCACAATGTCCTCCACATACTTCCAGCACTGAGGGAAATGGATCTAATCTTAAGATAATTGCTGATTTTAGGGATACCCTGTATGAAATATTGTTATGTAAAAGATAGATCTAGGTATATTTGGCATAATACTTTATTTACTATTTGCGAGAGAAAATCGGTTTTTAATTAAGGAATTTGCTTGTATGTTTATCTTGGAGCAACCTGTAGCTACTTTTACTAATGATTTTTTTACTAAAACTTCACTGTTATAAATTTCAAGACTTTTTTTCATAAAACTTAGGTAATTTTTAATGCCATTTATCACTTTTATTAAAATTTCTAATAATTTTCCAAACCTCTCAAGTTCGCCATTTTTTAACCCCCTGTGAAAAATATACCTACGAATTTTGAGAGTGACAACAAGTCAATATGGTTTAATATAGTCCTTTACTACACATTAAAACTCATTTCACAATTTTAGCACGACTCAAAAACGAAAAGTCATATCAGACCCTACTAATAGGTCAAGTTGTCGTCGACACTCGGTGAATTTTTAAAACAAAAAAAGATGACACGGGAAAGACACGATTAGTGGCCAGATAACTGGTATATTTAAATTACATGTACTTTAAATTTTGAAAAAAAAAGTTAAAATTTGTAATGGATTTCCATCAAGTATCAGCCTAATCTTGTATTTTCATTCAAAATAATTTAAATAAATTTATTAATGAAAATTCAGATTTTTTGTCCCTATTATTTCTAAACGTTAGCAGTGTTTCTGACTATTGAACACATATATACAGGGTGTCACACGATGTTTTTCCCAGGTGATAACTTCGGAACGCGTCATCCAATATAATTGAAATTTTGAGGATCTAGGTAACTTTTTGTGCGGCTTCAACCATTGTCATTGCTTTTCGGATCTTAAATGTAATTCATGGTAGATTATGGCATTTTTAGTTAAAAAATTAAATAAAAAAATTGGCAATTCCATATTTGTTAAGGCTTTGTTAGAGAGAATGATAAAAAAATTATACAGTGGAACATACGATGATGCGTTCCAAAGTTATCATTTGAGAAAAACCTCCTAGGACACCCAGGTACTCTCCATGGCCAGTATTATTATGAGCTCATTTCGCTTTTCAGAAAAAGTCATTTATTGTTACTTCGAAAGCTGGACTGTTTATAGACCAGGAAATGGCAAATTTGACGTAGAAAGCATCGACCCTAGCCTATGCACTCACATTGCCTTCACTTTCATTGGTCTAAACGAAGACGGTTCTATTGCAATCCTAGATCCATGGGAATCTAATCCGGATGGTTTAAGTAAGTTTGTTTAAAACTTCTTTTTATACCTTAATTATTGTCGTGTTTTCAGATGGTTTCAATAGGTTCATAGCTCTAAAGCGAAAAAACCCAAACCTCAAAGCCCTAATCTCTTTGGGAGGCTGGAACGAAGGTTCACTGAAGTACTCATTAGTATTGGCTGATGCCTCCAAAAGGGCAGTTTTAGTCAAGGAAGTCGTAGCCTTTATTGTTAAATATGGTTTTGATGGTTTCGACTTTGACTGGGAATATCCTGCTAGAAGGGATAGTACGAATCCAGATGATAAAGCCAACTTTGTCCTTATTTTGCAAGAGCTCAAGGCTGCCTTTGCTCCTAGGAATTTGATTTTGTCAGCTGCTGTTAACTGTGCCAAAGAAAACGTCGATGTGTCTTATGACGTTCCTGCTTTATCAGAGTAAGGAATGTTTTCCGTTCCCTAAATTTAATTTTCATAAAATTTCAAGAACATAGTTAGTTCATTATTTTCAATAGTTGCTAGGTGAATCTAAGAATCATAGCAGATTATATCACGAGTCAATAATGATAACTATTATAGCCATTATTGCCAGTAGTATACTCTACTTTATTTGCGACAATTTAATATATTTGAGTTTTTTAATGATCAACTACTTTATTTATTCATAACATTAAAATTAGTGATAGTATAATTAATAAACTGAATTGGTCGTGAATTATCATTAATTTTGGAAGTGTTTTCGATACAAATATTTAGAGTTTCGGTTGCTGTAAAGGAAGAAAATGCATCCGGAATGTTGGTTTCTGTAGATGAAGAAGATGCTCCATTACTATTTATCTGCTTAGCAATAGTATCTGGTGTAGTTGTGTTGTTTCTCATAGACTGATCAATGTATCTACTTATGTAGATCTCCAGCCTCCATGACGCTTCAACCCAGTTATATCGCATCCTTCATCAATGTACAGAGTGGCAGATGAACTGCGATAACAATAGCAGGCATAACTTTCAGGATTTGACAAGTTTAAATATTTGGCAATTTGTCTACCAATGTCTGCAAATTGGTTTTCTCCTAAACGTTGTATTGTGCATTTGGATTTTTGATAATTTAGAAAAAATAAAATAATTTTCACATGTGCCATACAGAGATCGATTTACTTCTTCACAATTTTGGTTTTAGTTTTGGGAATGGTTATCAATAACTCTGTTTGGCAATCCTTTACATCTTCAGATCCTAAACTGCTAGGCTTGCTAGCTTAGAACTCTTAGGCCTGTGGGCTGATTTCTAAAATAATGATCAATTAAAATAAAAAATAAATAAATGTATTTTCTTTGTAGGCTTTTGGACCACATCAATGTAATGTGCTACGATTTCCATGGAGATTTCGACAACTATGTCGGTCACCACTCTCTCCTTTACAGCTCCGAAATTGATAGCAAATACAACAAATCTGAATGGAATATTGTAAGAACACCTAAATTATTTTAATACTTGAATACTATGAATGACGATATTTAGGACAGTGGAATCAAATATTGGATTCAATCCGGGGCTGATCCAGCTAAACTCAACTTTGGTATTGCAACTTATGCCAGAACCTTCACCTTACGTGATGCTACTGAAACTGGACTTTACGCTGACATTACTGGAGGTGGTACCCCAGGACCTTACACTAGAATGACTGGAGTTTTAGGATACAATGAAGTAGGAATTTATATATTATTTTTGATTTCTTGGGCATGTTCGGGTTTGAAAACAGGCCGGTTCAAAATAATCTCACATTTTCTGAATCAACAAAATGACAACGGCTCGGCTATCACAAATTTAAATAATAAACTGTGCGATTGTTTTGAACCATTCTAGAATCGTCCTTTTTCAAACTCAAATAAAGCTATTGTATTACAAAATACTGTGGATTCTAGATTTGTGAACTTTATCCAAGTCGTGAAGACATCTGGGACGAAGTTCAGCAAGTGGCTCATTTTGTGATTGGAAATCAATGGATCGGATACGAAAACAAAAAGTCGATAGAAGTGAAAGTTGATTATGCCCTGGAGAAAAGTCTGGGAGGTTTTATGGTTTGGAGTTTTGATACTGACGATTTCACTGGACTCTGTGGGGAAGGATCTTATCCATTACTGAAGACTATTCATAACAAATTAACTGTAAATGGTTATAAACTGAAGACTAATAAAAAATTGTATTAGCTTAGACTGGAGTTGTGTTATTTTTTTAGTGAAACTGTAGATTTTTTTTTCTTTTAGGTTACTTCTTCAAATAATCGGAACTTCTCCTAATAATGAAAATTTGAAAAATTTATTTTGCATTGACATTTGAATGAATAGTGTTTTGAAAATTTCGAAGCGAAAAATATTTTTTCTACTGACGTTTCATAATAGCAACTTTTCGATTGTCATTTCAGTTTTGAAACGACATTCTTTTAGGCACTGAGTGCGTGAAAGTTACTTTTAGGCACTCAGTGCGTAAAAGTGACTTTTGAATGCGTAAAAGTGACTTATGAGTGCGTAAAAGTAATTTTTAAGCACTAGTGCCTAAAAGTGTCATTCATTATTCAGAAATAAAAAACACACTAAACACATATTTGAATTTTGTTTTGTATTTATTATGAATATTGAAAATGGAATTACTGAATTGAACGTTTGGGTTACTCAAAACAGAACTTTGTGTTATTACCTACTTTCTAGGATTTTAATTATTGATGTCGAATTTTGAAAAGAAAATCGCATGAAAAGTGTCAGGTGTTAAGTAAAAGCAGGTAACAAAGATTTTGGGTGTAATCGACTTATTCACATGAAATAAAATTGAGTTTTTTTATTATAAAATGCCAGTAGAGAAAATCTTGTATACAATACGTTACGAAACGATGTCTTTTAGTCACTCGACGTGTTGTCCAACGCGGCTTTGCCTCGTTGGACAATTTTCACGTCGCGTGCCTAAAAGACGCTCATTTCGTAACTTATTGTATAAATAGCTATAGAGCATACCTATTTAGGCTCATTCAAAAAAAGATCATATACAGATTTTAAAGACAAATTATGTCCTAAACATCATGTCTCCACAACGCCATCGCTCAATCGTTATAATGTTGATATTATTGAAGATTTTGCTTTGAATTACATGTACCTATGCTGCTTGGGGGTGATGCGAAAGCTGCTTTCAAATTGGACAAAAAAAGTTCTTCTAGGCCTGTTAAGTTACCTGTTAATTCAAGATTAAAACAGTCAAAAAGATTCATATTGTGTGCATTTGGCTGATGATGTAGATCACTTCAAAAGTACACTCGGTGAGGTAAGCTGATTTCCCTTTGAAATCGGTGAGAAAGCCAATCAGCCTCTACAACAGTTATGTAACCGTTTATCAGAAAATTCAGAAATGTTTGTTGAATGTGAAAACTTTTCATCAATATTTGTAATAAGGTTAATGCCCGTATGCACCATTGCACAAATTCTCTGATTAAGACTTTAGCCGTGATCACAAAATATTTTTCATATGCACCAAGCGTTTTTTTCGCCTATTGGCAATTAACTTTAAATTGCTCGATGGCCTGGAATTTAGAACAAGATAACCGCGGCTAGTTAATAAAATGAGTTTAGGTGTTTTGTTTGTTTTGGTTCCGATTTCAAATTTCATATTTACATTTTACAAACATTTTTGTAAAAAAAAAAACTGGAACAAATTTGTGTGAAGTGAGCCAGGAAAAAAAGAACTGAAATCAGGAATATGGAGGTGGAGAGACATTATTTGACAATGATTAATTTGGATAATGAAATTGTGTTAGATGGGTTTCCGTTTCCAAGGCGTTGGAATGAGAGGGAAAATTATTTTGAAGCTTTGGATGATCTGATCTATAAGCCAATGTCGTAGATCATAGATCTTCTTGAAGAGGTAGAAGATGCCCTATCATTATTATAGGGTGTAGTACCTACATTCTATGCAAATTTTTGACTTGATTATTGATTCCAATAACTAGGTAATGACTATGTAATTACTGTTTATTTCAAATAAAATGCCCTACATGCCCTGGATGTTTTGTTTGTTTGTTTATAAAATTAAAATTCATCGACAAAAACGCAGAATGGGTCTCGCCAACCCCACATACCGCCAACCCAAAATGGGCTTTTATTGCTTTTTATTAAAATCTATAGGAAATTTGCGACGTTATCGGTGAGTTCCTTTCAGGTGGCCCTCATTACAAAATCACAATTAACTAATTTGAGTGCAAAATCCTTTGGTGCATCGAACCGACATTTTTACCGTGATTACATAATTATCCGTGATTAGCTAATAACGAAAATACGTGAAAATGGTGAATAGTATAAGGACCTCCGGAACAGCTCCGGGGCGTTACGCGCTTATTCCTTCCGAAAAGTGTTTGTTGCACCTGAGTACTCAAGCCCAAAGTAAACCATAAATGCACGAAAGTCGGCGAATCTGTTCCTTTCAAATCGGGTTGACACACCGGAGCGAGTAGCTCTAGTGTTTCAAACTCTTGAAAGGAATACAGCTACATACTGGAAAGCAGCTTTATATCCTATCGGCGGTTCACTCTCGTACTCTATCCGTTCCAGCGGCCGCACCGGTGCGGCGTTATCCCGACAATCCGGAGCCGTTGATCGAAACGAGTCTGTCGGTGTAATGTACTCCGCTCTGAATCTGTGTCCCTACTCCGAGTCCACACTTTTTCCTGTTCCACTGGCCGGCGCGGCGTGATCCGTTTAGTTCGAGTTTGACTCCGAGTCCGTACAACGTAGACAACGCAAAAGTGGTCCGGACTTGAACTCGAACTTGGACCGGACCTGTTTATTTTGCAGTGGATCAGTTCCCACTGTGAAGATCAGTTCCAGTATTTGGCCCTGATAATAGCCAATTTTGGGTTGGCGAGACCCCATATCTGCGTTTTTTTCGATGAATAAATTTTAGGTATACAGTATACACAAACAAACAAAGCATCCTGGGCATTTTATTTGAAATAAACAGTAATTACCGTAATTACATAGTCATTAGTTACTGGAATCAAGCCATAAAATTGCATATAATACTACCACCCTATCATAAGTTAAGTTAGGGCATTTTCCACCTCTTCAGGAAGATCTACGACTATTGGTTTATAAGATCATCCATCCAAAGCTTCAAAATAATTTTCCGTCTCATTCCAACGCGTTGGAAGCCCATCTAACACAATCATTATTTATCAGTATCCAAATCCTCGTCAAATAATAGGTGGTCCATCTCCATATTCCTTATTTGATTTCTCCCTGCTCACCCTCGCCACACACTATTTTTCCAGTAATTTTTTGGGGACAAAAATGTTTTTAAAATGTAAAAACAAATCAAAACATTCTAACCTCATTTCATTATAGCCGCGGTTATCCTAAATTCCAGGCCATCGAGCGATTTAAGTTAATTGCCGATTAGGCGAAAAAAACGCTTGGTGCATACGAAAAATATTATGTGATCACGGCTAAAGTTTAATCAGAGAATTTGTGTAATGGTGCATACCAGGCAAATGCAAAATCCTTTGGTACATCGAATCGACTTTTTTAACCGTGATTACATAATTAGCCCTGATTAGCTAATTACGAAAATACCTGAAAATGGTGCATACAGGCATAAGTGGGGCAAATGCGACTTTGAGGCATGTGCGTCTCCCACCCAAAAAATTTTTGTATTCGCTTATACCGTCAAATTTCATATATTTACCCTTTCCCTATAGCGTTGGCAACACTGTGCACCGATGTGCGGTAATCCAGTACACCGCCGCGTCTTGAGGCAAAAGTCGTTTATTAAAACACCTGTTTACGCTGTCAACACGAGTGTTTAAATATTTTACTGTTATTTTCCTAAATTGTACTTTTCCGTTTTTTTTTGTGTGTAGATATGTGCAAGGTAAGTCTAAACCATTACTATGTCGTAAACATATATCATTATCGAGATGTTTATCCTCCTGAGACCTAACGTCCATTTTATTGGACATCCAGTTTTACATTTTTAATTTCGTTCCTATCAAAATTATACCCCTTGAAACCTGATGTTCATCCTATTGGACCCGTTTGTAAAGCCATCTAGCACTGCGCACTCGAAAATACTGATATAACCACATGTTATTTGTTATTCCAATCATGGCGGCGTTTCGTAAAGCAACGTATGATGGTAAGTAGTGTTTTTTTTATTGTTTATCGATATTTTATTGCTGTTTTTTGGGAAATTACTATGTGTTATAGTTTATTAAGTAAATATTTCACTATAAATGTTTGTGGGTAAGCTTTATTTCGTATCAATCGCCCTAAATTCCTCGCGTCCATCTTAATGGATCTGGATCTGGATAGTGTTACGAAAAAGGTCGTGCTGGAATTAATTTGCCCGTAAGTTTTCCAATTTTTGTCTGATTTTAGAAAATCTGGTCTCAAAATAAAGCTTACATCACAGAGGGATGTCATGAAATCTGAAAAAAATGACAAATCTCAGAATTCGTGTGAAATATCGCTTTTTTTGGCCAGACATCGTCAATAATTTACATCTGAGGAAGCAAATAATACTCGTAAGATTACAAAGACATGTTGGATGGATATTTGAAATCTGTGTCTAACACAGAATGTTGTGACTAGTGCAAAATATCGAAAATGCCCTACATGAAAGGATTCAAAGAGAAAACCTCCAACTTGGGGGTGGTGGGGTGGGCCTTTAGTCGATTTACATGAAAATTATATTAATTTTTCTATTCTCACTGTTGAGTATTCATGAACTAAAACTTTCCGAATATATCTAAATATTTTCGGGGTTCACACAAGATAAGTAAGCAGAGATTTTCTGTTTGTATCATTTTTGTTCTCGCCTGGGCTGGATGGAGGGAATCCAGTATTGGGCACATACTGCACATGCAAAGTTATCGCGTTGTTAGGTACTTTAGCTACGCTCGACATGAGAACAATGTGAAGTATCCATCAAATACGTTACTTATATTAGGGCCGGTTTATCAATAGCGAGTCATTTCCGGGTTGATTATAACTCCAGGGTAAACGTTTCTCCACAGCGAGTTAGCTATAACTTTTGGTGTAACCTTGGGTTAAATTGGCTCACTGTTGATGATATTGCGGGTTTAGCGATTTATGGATTTATGGATTTACCCTTTGAGATAACCTGATGATTCGTGATCGTGATTTGTCAATTTTGTGGTAATTTTTTTTTTCAAAATAGAAATATATGGATTGATTGATGAAGATGAAGATTTCTACAATTTCGCAGGAAAAACGCCTCATATAATCCGCCAAAGGATTAATCCTCTCGAGAAATACGATGACTAGGATTTCTCTACAAAGGATTAAAAGTTCATGTCTGACCTCGTGCACCCTATATT